TAGATAATTATACATGAACCATGAAAGTAACTCACGGAAAAGAGCCCAAACTAAATAAACATGGTTAAAAGTGGGGTCTTTATCTTTTCCTTAAACTAAGTAATCTTAACAGAATGCAATTTCAATCACATATATAAAGAAGAAAACGATAATTTAACTAATTTTTAACAGATTTACATGATGATAACACTAATATAACATTCATCTTGAAACAAAATCAGATCTAATATGTTCCATCAACCAAACCGGGATCAAATCCTTCTTATTATCATCAAGAATCTGCAATATAAGAATTTGAAAGTTACCTGATTTGTGGAATAATAAAATACAGCAGTGCAACAACAAAAAAACTCAGCAGCAAATACAGTAAAAATAACAGCAACTCAAGTGTTAAGACAACCCAGAAAACTCAACAAAGATGCTTGAAACTGGTAGCTATCAACTTCACAAATTGCCTAAGGGATCTTTCTATTTTTCTCGAGGTATTTGCACTCAAATAATCCTCACAAAACTCTGAAATTTCAGCTTGTTATATGTATTAAGCTGCTGATTTTTCTTAAAGATATATGTCTTTAAGTAACTCTCTAAGATGTGTCTCAGTATAAGATAGAGTGTGTAATAGAGTGTCCCCCTCTTTTCAGTGAGTAAAGAGCCTTTTAAATAGGCAAATAAATCAGATTTTTTGGGCAGATTTTGGTTCACCAAAAGTCTGTCCAAAAGACTGACTTTGTGTGCTAAACACTGTTCAAAAGCTGTCAAAAAGTATTGTACTTGTCATCACACAATGACTTTTGAGTTTTGCACTCCAAAGTCTTTGCACAGTAAAAACAACCAAACTTGTACTATTCCTTCTTTAATTTTAGCTTTTATCAACACAAAAATTCAAATGCTCAAATCCAATAAAAACAAATTCACTAAGCACTTGAAACTTCTATCATAAACTATCATGACTAAGCAAATAACTATTTCAAAACTAATGAATAACTAATTATCAGTGATTAATAACTATGAACGACTAAGCTAACATAGATTAAACACAACTAATAATAAAAATATAAATAATAATAAAAAATAAAAAAATAAAAACCAGAAATTATGCTAGACATAAAGTAAATACAATACAATTAGAAAAAATAGACAAAGAAAATGAGAATAGGGGTATACCAAATGAGGGTGTTCGGGGTGGTCGCCGGAATTTGGCCGGATTTTTAGTTGCCGGATTTTCGGAATGGAATTGACATCAATAGGTAGGTATTGATGAGCTCTATCCGTTGATGTAGGTATTGTGGGGTGGTAGTGGCCGAAACTTCAAGATTTTGGGCAAAAAAGTGGCAGCTAAAGTTTCCTAGATCTAAAATTCAAGGTGTTTGAGGATTTTTTGAAGGATTTGGTTTGGAGATATGGAAAGAGGAGGTTGTAGAGATTACATGGTGTGAATTTAGGGGTGTTTGGAGGTTGGCCGCCGCCGGTGGGTGACTTCCGGCGGCGGCGGCAGAGAAAAGAGAGAGAAGAGAGAAAGAGTTATGGGGAAATGAGGGAATTTTTCAGATTTTTGAGGCTTTAAATACCTCTTGAGAGATCAGATATGGACCATTAGATCAAGGGGTGATCAATGGGTGAGATTTGATCTTGGGTCACTTAATGAAACGGCGTAGTTTTGAGGAAAAACTACGTCGTTTCGGACCCTTTCAAGGGCAGCCCCTTATCTTGCACTTTTGGCCACTTTCTCTTTCAAATTTAGCCCAATTTCTTTCTTAATCCTACTTATTAAACTAAATTTATACAAACAAATAAATTAATTAAGTAACTTATTCAAATGATCTATTAACTATATTAATTCACCAATTGAATACTTAGTTAATTCCTAAAATGCACAAATAAAGAAAGAACTATTATGATAGGAAATATGCAATCAAAGACACAAAAATTGAGAAATATAATTAAAGCAACAAAACACTAATGACTTTAGGAGGTGTTAAAACAATACAAAAATTAGGTATTCACAGTTATATGTTGCAGTACTATATTTCAGAGTTATTTAGATAGTTTGGCCGAAGGGCCGTTGTGTTCACGGGATTAGATGAGTTATTCTGGTATAGAATTTAGGATTAAACTTATTTCGTATTTGATCATAGGTATTAACTAAAATCAGCATAATTTTAAACCATAATCTTGGAATTATTTTATCCCACTTAATAGATGAGATAACTAAACCTAGGATAAATTTCGAAAATGATCATGTTAGCCTCCTCAAGCCCTTTCTTTTTCACTGTGATTTGAAGTTAACTCTGCAGAGGAATTTTTTGGTGCTTTCTAATGGATTGGGTTGTAGTTTTATTTTGAACTGAAATGCGTTTGGACTTTCATTTCTTTTGTATCTAAAAAAAGTGGACAGCATAACAAATCAGTGTATGCAGAATTTTACATGTTGCAGTTTATTTTATTTTATTTAGCTATCGAGCTGTTTATATTTGAGTTTATCATTATTTGAATAATTTGCTAATGAAACTGTTGCTGCACTTTGCTTTTTGCAGCTAAAAGATTTCCTTGTTTTGGTGTAGGCGATATGTCTATCTTTATTATAAAAAATAAAAAGAATTCACCTATATTTAAGTCACTAAAATAACCAAGGTTAAAAATAAAAACAAAAAAATTATTTGAAACATTTATTTAAGTTTATTTAGTTTGAAATCAAACACAATTTTGGATTATGCTTCGTGTATCCATTTTTAATCTACTGAACCAGAAAAAGCACTAGAACTAAATAATTTAAGCATTACTAATCCTAAAATTATAATTTCGGGATTACTCTGTCCACGAACCAAACGACCTCTAAATATTTTTAAACTCATATTGAACTGAGGCTAATAGGCCAATCCAAATCAGCCCACTAGCCCTTGATGTTAGACCAAGGCTGGGCCGAGGCCAGCCCGTAGGCCAATTTACAATTAATCATTTTATTTTGTAGCCATTCTAAATAACTACTATTTAGGAATTAGTCAGTATATCATGAATTTCAGTTTTCCAGTTCAATTTTATGGATAAAAATATCTTGAATTGTCCTGAAATTAATTTTTTTAGTTTAAAATTTTATAACAAAATAAATACTGGCTAATATCCAAATAACATCCCTGGGAATATCTATCTATGCACTGTCCCGTTTATTTCGGACAAACTACATTATTTATGGCTTCCCTCCCTAATTTAAATACCATACTTTGTTTATAGCAAAGGATCGAAAAAATGACGCACATCTAACCACACATCACTATTGCGTCCTTACACTTTTTGCTTCTTTTTTTGTGATTACTTAGTAGATATGTTATAATAATAGAGAGTAAGATACGCGATCCCTCACCTATTAATAACTAAACTGGATTACTACCTGTCTTTGCAACAATATGCCGACGAAATACAAGGTCAATGTGTACTACCTTGTCCAAGAGTGACCAAACATGAGAGTAGGAGAAATGGCTAAAAGAAATAAAAAGTGTTTACCCATAAAACGGTACAGTTGAATTTATAGCGTTTATAGATAAGTGAATTGATTTGATCCCCAAATTGATAAAGAAATTAAATAAAATGCAAGTCAGTGTTGAAATCGAGATAAGATAGCAGACAACTTGGTTCAGGGAGCAGGGCTTCCGAAGACAGCAATAAGAATATTGTAAGACAGAAAATAAAGTATTATTTAGCTTGGAATAATGTGTAACATAGGTTTGTCAGAAATTTCGTGGGTTACAATCGCTGTTGAAGTCACTATTTATAGCTAAACCTAGGGAACAAGGTCCTAGGATCAAGCCCCTATTAAATGACAATAATAAGGGCCATTGATGAATATGTAACGGCAATCTATGAATGTCAAAATTCTCTGTAATAGATATGTATTTAATGTTGAGGAACATTCTTCATTGAATGTCATCTGGTGGCAAATATTTGTTTGCCTCTGTTGATAACGTTCCCTTCGGGGTCTACCCAATGTCAACCTAAGTTGTTGCCTTAAGTTTTGACTTCCATTTGCTTCGTCTTACGTTTGTCCCCGGTTCCACGTATCATTCTGTTATTCGAGTATTTAATGTGAACCGATTTTACCCTATACAAAAGGGATTTTTTGGTATATATATAAAATTGCAAACTATTTTACTCGGTTTAACTAAAGTTTGCTAATTACCAAAAAAATAGTTTTTCTTTACAATTTGTATACATCCTCCTTAAAAGACTCTCAAACTGTCATTAGCGCCTATAATTAAAGGAATCGGGTTAGGGTTGTCTAAGGAGAGGGTACTGATTCTTAAGAGTTAAGAGTACGGGGACGGTAAGGATAAAGGGAGGGTTCCTTAAGGGTACTTTTCTTAAGGGGATTTAAGGGTACATGGTAAGGTTACTTTTACTGGTACCCTACCAGTACCCCTACTGGTCCTAAGGGTGCGGTGTGTGGTACTTAGGGGTAATTTTAAATAAAAAATAAAACAATTATATTTAAATACACACAAACCTCGATGAATGAAAAAATTCAATACTTTTATTTCAATACTTATTAAAATAAAATTATAATTTGCGGAATTTTTTAATAACTTCTATTGGTTCTTCGCTTGAAATTGATAGCACTTGTTCTTCTGGTATTTCACTATATGCATTGTCCTCTTCTTGAATTATTTCTGGAAGGCCAAAGTTTCTTGTCTTTCAATATTTCAGCAAGTCTTCATTTCCTTCATCAGCGCAAACATTATTTCTAACAGTTGTTCTAGTCACTACTAGAAAATGGGTCTATGGCAACAAATATTTTTGCAACGGTTCAAACACCGTTACTATAGATAGGTTATTGGAACGGTTTTAACCGTTACAATATGACATGGGTAATACCAGCACACTTTGGGTATAAAACCATTGCATTTAGGTAATAGTCGTTTTTATTGGAACGGATCTTGAAAAAAATTCAATCGGAACGGTTGTTATTGCCATCCTAAAATTTTGCCCCCTCAATTTTCGTAAACCCGCGCTAGAACCTCTATTTTTACATTATTTTTTTAATTAATATTATTTCATAAAATTAGAACCCATTTATTTGTTCTCCTAAGCCCTAACCTCGTCTTTCCCCTTTGAGCGTACCCATCTGAGAATGCCAGAACCTCCATTGTCGTTGCCACTATCCGCCGTCGACCTCCGTCGCATCTGCCAATATCCCGCCGTCAACCTCCGTCAACACCAGCAGAACCTCAATTTTCTTTTTCATCCACCTATAAACTTTATCTCCTCCACCAGAAACAACAACCATTCAATTAATCAAAGCTCCATGGTTTCAAATAGTCCCAAAATTCTAGGGGTTTTTTCTCAATTAAGCTCGACTACAACTTCTTGTTTTCACTGAGCCTTAATTCTAGGTTTTTGCTCGACTCTCGCAAATTTTCTGATTTATTTTGCATGCTCTTCTTTTATTCCTTTTGTAATTTCTCAATAGTTGAGCCATAACTTGCAGATTCCATTAGCGAGGATAAAAATGCAACTGATAGCCGTGGGATAAATAATTGTAAGTTTCTTTAACTCTTTTTAATATAAATTTAGGATAACCACATTCGCTAGTTGTGATTTTGGATGAAAATTTCAGTTTTAATGTTTCTTTTTACTCGATTCAGTGATTTTTATTTTATTTTTGGGAGTAACTGAGTGATGTACTGTGGATTCAGCATCTTTTGTTTGTGCAAGCTATGGTGTTGTTTTTGTTCAACTTTAGAGAGTCATCTGCATCACTTAGTTATACAAATGCTTTTAAAGTGTCCTTATATTTGCCTTTGTCATGGAATTTTTGATGCCGTTTTGTTTAGTAAGGATTGAGGCTTATTAGTAGCACCTAAAGCAAGATATGAAATTTTCTTGCAAAAAGAGGGGTTTATTAAGTTTTTATATGCTTTTATGTTTTTGGGCTTATATGGGGGAAGGAGTAACAGAACTCTTGAAGGTGTCAAGAGTCCACAGTCGCTTTTGCATAGATGATTGTTAGACTTTTAGGAGATTTAATATGTACCAGTATCAGAAAACTTATGTACAAACTATAACAATTGGTGTATATTGAGAATGAGAAAAGGATTATGTAATATAAAAAAATTAGATATGGTCTGAGTAGATTAGCTATTGTAGTTTTGTTCTATCTATAATCTAAGTTCTCATTATTATAGATTAACTAGTGTAGTTTAGTTCTATCTATAAAACTAGGTTCTCATTATTATAACCCTTTGCCTTCTGAGTTCTCATTATTGGGAAATCACCTGGATGTGAATAGCTGGTTTCAAATTAAGCCTCTTGGTGGTTCGACGTATAAGCTAGTCTTCTGTTCTTACGGAGAGGAGTTTACTTGCCAAAATGTAGGCATCACTGAGGAAAATGGATATAGGCGTTTTGTTCTCACAGAGAATGCAAAGGCCTTTGTGTTCATAAAGCATGGCGGAATTGGAAAGGCCGAAGCATGATTATGCATCTGCTTTCTAATAAAAATAAGTATGGAGTAGTATAAAACATGCATGTACTAATGCAGGTACTACCATGTCCCATGCATGTATGTTGTGTTTCACTGGATGTAAGAATAAATAATGTAATGCAGGCCTAATAAGTGCCCTATGCATGCTTTATTCCCTGTAATAGTAATGTTGCACTGATATAAATATTCCTGATATATCTTCTCTGTTTAGTTCTTAATGGTTCGATCTTTGTGTACCTTATAAAACAAAAATAAAAAAGTATTAGGCTAGCTTTTTCAAATGGATGATAAAAGTGCATTTTGAAATGGTTTCGAAAACGAAGAAGTATTTGTAGAATATGCATGTCCTAGCACTACAAAACAAAAGGCTAAGCTCTGGTCGTAAGGGTATATACTCTTAGCAAAACTGAATCAATTATGATGAAACATTTGACCCCCGCTGTCATGGTAGAATCTATCCGAATAATTTTTGCATATGCACCTTTCAAAACTTTTGCCTTTTTGTTTTTTACGCTTTTGATTGTACTAGTTTTAAGATACGCGCGATACGTGAATTCTGTCCAAAAGTGCACTCTCATATGCAGACCGTCTTGCAAACTGGTCATTAGCAGTCCCCTCAGAGGACAATAGAGCAATTAAGGGTCAACTTCTTTATATCTATATGCTTTTTAGATTTGGCGTTGCGTTTATACTCTGTCTCGAACTGTTAAGTTCTCAATGCAAACAAGCAAATAAGCTAACTGGTTTGATTAAAGACATGGCTAGAAAATATTTAGATGATAACTTGTTTGTTGTTAAAGAAAATCATCTTATGTGTTATCGTCCTTAAGTAACAATAAAAGAGAATATGTACCTAGACTCATGCACTACTTCCTTCCGGCAATGTGATTAAACGTGTGCCAGAATCATAGACCATATCCGTTCCACAATTTGTGCCAGAATCACTACAGATTTGTACCTGTAGTGACAAAGCAGGAAGCACAAGAGCCAGCCATGTTCATAAGTCCAATAGCTATCATTTCTTTGTTACCGTCAACTTGGTAATTTTGCATAGCAGCAAATGTCCTTCCTACCGCTATCCCTTCCGTCTAAATTTAAGGGATGAAACTAGAAATGATGCATGTTACTCCTATTGGCCTTTCCAATATGACGACGCTAGTCCTCGATTGGCTTTGCTCTAGCCTTCGACTTCTAATGTCCTTTCCCCATTTGAAGTTACACAGTAAGTCATTCTTTCATTTTTTTGCTATCAGTTTATCTTCCTACATTCTACAAAATTGCTTTGGTTTGTGTGTATAGTTTAACCTATGCGTCCAAATTTGAGATAAAAATATAATTTAGATCTCAACTTATTTGTGGATCGGAAGTTGTACTAAGTATCAAGCTAGTATTTAAATTTGTTGTTTGCTACATCTGATTATTGTGTTTTTTTTTCTAATTTTTAAAGTTACCAAGCAATGTCATTTTAGCTACATGATTGCTTTGGTTGTGTGTATAGTTTTGTGTAAGGGTGAAAATTGAACGTCCTAAGAGATAGTGGAAGTGGAAGTTTACACTTCTATATTAGATTGGAAGCTGTACTAAGTACCTATTTTCTTGTTAAATTTGTTGTTTATTCATCAGTTTAATGTGTTCTCTAATTTGCAAAGTTAGTAAGCAGGGCCATTTTAGCATCTTGTATGTACTGTTTTACATAATTGATTTAGTTGTGTCATGTATGTATAATTTTATCTGATCTTTGAAGGAATTCTAGAATTCTATTTATTAGGATACTGGATACTGACTACCAATCTTGTAATTGAATTTGTTATTTATTTATAATTCATAAATGTTTTTGGTTCAAAGTTACTAAGCAATTTCATTTCGAAGTCTTATATATCCTTAATATTCTTTTCTTTTTTCATGGCACTTTGTGCTATGAGCATTTTTAGACAAAATTCTCTTGAAGGGTAATGACTTTATTTATCCTCTTTTGTAGGTGGAGTAGATCAAGAAATGGAAGATGAAGGCAGTGAAGAACTAGACCTTACTTGAGATGAATTTTGAATTGCTATAGATGAATGTTCTAGGAATCTTTTGTTATCAACATTTTTTATACTTACTCTCTTGAAATGTATTAAACTTATGCACTTGGGGTAGAACATTTGCTTTATGGATATTATTTGCTTGATGGATAATTTATATTATTAATAGTTTCATTTTATGATTTATTTAAATTTTAGTGTTATTATAATTTATTATATATGTAAATATTTATTTATAACATGGACTATACTTTTGTTTTAACTGAATTGTTACAATAGCCTACCAAAACCGTTGCAATAGGACACAAATGACGTTCATTAGACAATAAAAACTGTTGCAATAGGTCCTATAAACAGTTCCAAAATAATTTATAAACTGTTCCAATACAAATAAAAACGTTACGATAGCTTAAAGAAACCGTTGTTATACCCATACATAACCGTAACAATAGCGTACATAAGTGTTGCATTAAATAATATGGTAACAGTTAAGAACCGTTGTATAAACAATATAGTAACGATTTTAAACCGTTCCAATTGGAAAAAAATAATCGTTCCAATAGAGAAAGGGAAAACCGTTGCGATAGATAAATCTATAGCCACGTCGATGCAAACCGTTGCAAGAACCGTTCTTATAGACATATGGACACGCATGCTGATGGAACGAGTTGTAAACCATTCCAATATCTCTATGGCAACAGTTTAACAGTCTGTGGGAACGGTTTCCCATGCGTTACCGTAGACCCATTATTTAGTAGTGAGTATGTAACGCCTAAACCCGGACCGGTTGGAATTTGTTTCAAAACGAGAAACCCCCCATCCTTAGCATTACTCTTAGTCAATCTATTATACATTTTTATCAGTTTATGAGTCATTTTTAATAATAAATAATTAAAATAACAACAAATAGCAACACAAGTACAACAAAAATAAATGCGAAAATTAATATGCGTGCTAGAACGTTAACTGCAATTAGAGATATAGAATTAGAGAGATATGAAATGGGGTAAATATAGTTTTAAAATAGAGCCAAAGTGTATTTGAACAAACTTAGAGGTTAAAAACATAAAGGGAGTAGGATGGGTGTTAGGGGACTAGGGAGGCAAAGAATGGCCATTTTTTATCGTTGCCAACGACTATTTTAAAAAAAATAACATTGGCTGACGCTGCAAAAACGATCACATTTAAAAAATAAATAAATAAGGGTGCCGATACCGACCGGTCTAATACCTTAATGATACTAACCGGACCGGTACTAAGGGTATTTATTTTCGGTACTCTCTCATTACCCTTATCCTTTATCTAAATCCCTCACTTCTACCACCAATCCGGACCAGTACGGTACTGGTACGAACCGGTAGGGGTACGGGTAATACCCTCCCCTTAGACAACCCTAATTCAATTATATCCATTTTTTTTTTACTCTCTTCTCGTCTCTTTCATCTTCTTCTGAATACTATATAATTACTCGTGATTAGCGCTTCAAAATTTGATAATTTTTATATAAACTTACTATAATAAAAATAATCATTATTCAAAGCAACATACAAAATTAGGTTATTAGCATACAATTTAAATATAGTTTTCATACAACTCATCATATAATAATAATAATATAACTTTTATATAGAAAACTAAAAGTATATGACTTTCATACGATATTCATACAAATATAATAGAGTTAGGCTTAGCTCATCACAATACACGTTATAATCGCCAATAATATACCAAATGTGAGGCAATTAACATACAAAAATGCATATTTTTGCGTGAAATTTGAAGTCATTTGGTGAAGATTTGAACTGGTTTTGATCAAGCATTGTGAAAATCGTAGAAGAAGATCATCATTGTAACTAGTATTGCGGCCAAACGCACACACAAGTATACGCTGCCGTCAAGTAATAAAGTAACTAAAAGTCGGATGTCATACCCACGAGGACTTGTGATTAACTATTAACTAAATTAGACTATCCTAATTATCTAAACAAGAATCAAACTCAAACGTAGTGATGTTAAAGTAACTAAACTAAAAGAAAATAAACAATGAACTTTGAACAAAGGAAGCGTAGATTTTTATTTATCAATGCGATGAAAACGATCCAGGCCTATGGGCTATCTAACAATCCTATTGTATTCTTCAGTTGAAGTAACTAATTAATCTATCTGGTTTATTGGTTAATAGGGTTAATATTGCTCATAAGAATCTGTCTAGTTCTTAGTCGCCAATTCAAGCTAACCTAACGCCTGTACGTCTATGGAATTAGAACTAACAAGAACGCACTCATAATTCATGTACATCAACCAAGCAGGGCAATTAGGTATATGTCTATCCTAACCGCGAATCCGTTCCCCGATGCCCAGGTTCAAGAACTTGCTCTACTCAATTCTATGTGTAATCTAGAATTTCTACTTTCGAGTTCAACTTTATATTCGTAGATAGTATTCAATTGGTGATCAAGCAGTCAAATAATTAATTTCAGGATTGAATAAATAAACTAATATGATAATCAAGAAACCAAAATCAATATCCAAATAACAATAGTTATGAAAGAACCACAACCCTAAAACGTGAAGTTTAGCTCCACATAGACATGGTAGCAAAATAATAAATTATACAAAGAAACATAAAAATTTCCAAGTTTGGTAGAAGAAAAGATGAAACCGTCCTCCACGACGGCTCTGTGCTCTCCCTTGGAAGTTATTCTAAAAAATGCCCTCCCCTCCAAAATAGGTTTGGGGCCCCTTTTGTACGAGTTGGGACCATGAATAACCTTGTCCCGAACGAAATAGAAAAACCTCCGCATCCAGCGTCAGGGGCTGGCCCTGACGCAGAATCCAGTGAGTTTCCGCCTTCAAATCCTTGCTTTGAATTGAATTGTAATTCCTTTCTTTTTCTTGTCTTCCACTTGGGGGACAAACGCCAAAGCTGTCCCCCTTTGTCCCCTTATTTTTCTATTAACTTATTTTCCTTTCTTTTTCTTCCGCGCTTTATTCAATTTTGGTCCAAATTTCTTCATATTCACACTGCTTATTTCTTGTAATGACACAACCGGTCATTTTGAGTATTACAACTCTGTTCCCCATTTACTTCTCTATTTGTGCTTTATAACTGTATTATAACTTATCCGATTAGTTAGTTCGGGTCCGGAGAGATTCCGGAATGAATTGAGACACTTAGTCTCATAATGGAAAGCTTAAGTTGAAAAAGTCGACCGGATATTGATTTATGTGTAAACGACCTCGAATTTGAATTCTAATGATCCCAATAGCTCCGTATGGTGATTTTGGACTTAGGAGCATGTCCGAAAAATTATTTGAAGATCCGTAGTAGAATTAGGCTTAAAATGGCAAAAGTTAAATTTTTGGGAAGTTTGACCGAATTCGATTCTGAAAATTGGAATAGGTCCGTTATGTCATTTATGACTTGTGTTCAAAATCTGACGTCAATCAGACTTGATTTGATAGGTTTCAACGTCGTTTGTAGAATTTATAAATTTCAAAGTTCATTAGGCTTGAATTGGAGTATGATTTGTCATTTTGATGTTGTAAGGTGTGATTTGAGGCTTCGAGTAGGTCCGTATTATATTATGCAATTTATTGGTATGTTCGGACGGGATCCCGAGGGGCTCGGGTGAGTTTCAGACGAGGTTCAGAGCATTTTAGAAGTTTTGGCTACGGCTTGAATTTTTTTGGTTCTGGTGTGACCGCACATGCGGAGTGTTGGGCACATGTGCGGAGCCGCAAAAGCGGCAGTGCCACTGCAGAAGCGACTTGGCTCGCAAATGCGCGCATTTTTCCGCAGAATCGAGGGTCGCAGGTGCGACCTCTTGTCCGCAGATGTGGAAGTCACTCGGCAGAAGCTTTAAATCGTGGGTTTTGGTTACTTTCTTCATTTTCGGACCTTGGAGCTCGGTTTGGGCGATTTTGTAGAGAAATTTTTTCACACAACTTGGGGTAAGTATTCTTGACTCCCTTGTGATTTTATTTTATGAATCTATCTTCATTTTTAGCAATTGGTTGATGAATTTAAAGAGGAAATTGGGGGCGTTTGACCTAAAGTTTTATTATATGAATTTTTGAGTTTTGAATGTCTATTTGGAGTCGGAATTAAATGAAATTAGTATGGTTGGACTTGTAATTGGATGGGTTATCGGATTTTGTGAGTTTCGTCGGATTCTGAGATGTGGGCCCCACAACACAATTTTTGAAGTGTAATTTCGGATTTTGTGGGAAGATATTAGTATTTTTATATGGAATTAATTTCTAATTGTGTGGACTGAATCAAATTTATTATGGCTAGATTCAAGCCGTTCAGAAGCTATTACGTGCAGAATAAAAATTTCTAGAGCATTGTTTAGCTTGCTCGACATTGGATTCGTCTAACTCTTCTAATCTTGGAGTTGAGGGTATGAATCCTAAATATTCATATTATGTGAATTGTTTGGAGGTGACGCACATGCTAGGTGACGGACGTGTGGCGTTCACCATAGAAATTGTGACGTAATTAGCTCCGTGGAATTTTTTAGTCAAATAATCTTGGCATTTTCTATGTAGTTTTATGTGTTCAGAAATTGAGTTGAGAATCAAAATAAAAATCATGCTGAGGCTATGTGTCAGTATTATTGAAACCCACAAAGGTCATATTGCTGATGAATTATTTGTTTAAATTAAAATTTCATACCTAGTCATATTTATTTCATTGCATATCATATCTCAGTCTCTATTGTTATTTATTGATGTATCATATTATTATTTTCGGGATAGTATCATGACATTGTGAGCCCGTGAGAGAGATACTAGAGAGATTGATGATTGAGTGAGGCCGAGTGCCTGATTATGAGTGACATTTATGGGATCGAGCTGCACGCCACAATGTTTATACCGATTTATGATAACGCTTGGGCTGAAAGAGCCTCTCTGGAGTCTGCACCCCCCCAATAAGTGCGGTTGATATTATTGAGGGATGGATCATCCCTGGACATGGATCTTTTCCAAAGCATTTTATAACTGCAGATGGATCTTCTCCACGGGCTGGATTGGCCCTACTCGGTACTGAGTGACTGATGATCAATTGATATGTATATTCCGGGATGGATCTTCCCTAGGCCGGGTTGGCCATATACAGTACCGAGTGATTGAGAATGATGAGTGCAATGTGTGAGAAAGCGTGATTGAGTAC